GAGCAATGAAAGTGGTTTCTTGAGATAGAATCTACTCCTGGAGAAGATCCTAGGAACATCACTGAAGTGACCACAAAGGATTTAGTGTATTACATAAAGTTAGTTCATAAAGCAGTGGTAAGATTTGAGAAGATTGGTTCCAATTTTGAAAGAAGTTCTACTGTGAGGAATATACTATCAAACAGCATCACAAGCTTCAGAGAAATCTTTTGTGAAAGGAAGAATTAACTGAATCAATCAATGTGGCAAACTTCATTATTGTCTTATTTTAAGAAAATGCCACAGTCACCCCAACTTTCAGCAACAAACACCCTGATGAGTCAGCAGCTGTCAACATTGAGGCAAGACCCATCATCAGCAAAAAGATCATGATTTGCTGAAGTCTAGGTGATCATTAGCATTTTTAGCAATAAAGTATATTTCAAAATTGTATATTCATTGTTTTCATACATAATGCTATTATATACTTAATACTACACAATACAGCATAGTGTCAATATAACTTTTATATGTATTGGGAAACCCAAAACTTCATGTTATTAGCTTTATTGCAATATTCATTTTACTGAGGTGGTCTGGAAGTGAACCCGCAATATATCCAAGATATGCCTGCATATTTGTGGCGGGAAATGTCTAAAACAACTTTTAGAAATCCAGTTGTTAAGAGTTCCAATGGTCTGCATTGCTAAGGAGCATAAAATAGTCATGTTTTCATTGGAAATAGTTTCTTGATGACATTGTCCATGGCATAATTCAAAACCACTAAAGGTCTTTTATGATAATGGTTTTTATAACTAAATGCTGTGAACAATTCTCTTCCTCTTCCCTTTTAGAGATTGCTATGTCCCTCTTTTCGATAATTTTACTAAGAAATTAATAGGTGGAATTTCTATTTTTCCTATATGCAAGGAAGTTCAGAAACATATTTAGTATTAAATTATCTTCTCTGTGAAGATTATTTACTTCTTCCTTTTTAAAATTCTTATGTTCTTTTGCTATATATTCACACACACACACACA